CAGCATGTGATGTCAGACGAGCAGCATTCAAGAAAAGCCAGTCATGCATGGCTTTATGTGTGCACTGTGTTTCAAAAGGAAAGCACTATGGGTATGACAACAGGTTGTCCACACCAAGGTGACCTTGGGGTCATGTAGGGAGGTCAAGGATGAGGACAAAGGTCGTGAGATGAGTTTGTTAGAGAAAATGACAGGAGTGGCTACATCTTGATGATTGTAGAGTGGTCTGCATATTTGTGGTGCTACATGAATTCTGCAGCATTGATCAAACAGTGTTTTGTAGCAATTACTAGCAATATTGAACTTTTGAAGCCAGTGTCAGCAAGTTTGAGTCATCAGTACTGCCAGAAAAGAAGTGTTTTATCACCAACCTTGTTGCTTATGTTGTAGACTCTTCCTGTTGGTATGAGATTTGAGGATAGATGTCTGTACTAGACCAAGGATTTGATTCCCTCCTGACTCGTTTGACCCTAGCCCTGTATACCATAGTGACTTTACATTTTCACATCAGCTACCAATAACAACTGCTGCCTTCAGCTGAACTAACTGTATACTAATCAGTCAAAATATTCTCAGTCCTAGAGTGAGTGTGTTGTATATGAATGAGCAAACTGAATTCTTGACAACCTGTATCACCCTTGCTTTGCTTATGATGTCTGCTCTGTAAAATTACATTATGTCTTGCACTAGAAGAATGTATGGAAATATGAGTAACTACTGAAGATGAGCTTGATGTCACTGTGGTAAACTCCTTTTTTTTGAGAAACAAATGTTGAAGTTCTACATGGCAATGGTAGAGTAAAATGACCACCAACTTAATTGTATGTATGTAGGTTGTGCAATGTAAATCCCCGAGTGTCGAGAATAGGTTGATGAACACTTTTAGCCATGCAGCTGTGATATGTTTTAACCCACTGCTTTTGCATTTTTTGTTGTTGTTTCAAATGATGTACCTCTGCCAAAGTGTGCACCAAACACATAAAACAGCACATGTTGTGTCAGGTTCTGTTGAGTGTATCAACAGAAATTGCACCTTAGTACTCGTGACTAAAATTTGGGATTGAATATGTGGATCTGTAGTTAGTGCTGTGTATGTGTGAGTGAGATGATGCATGACAATGAAGACATGTAATGCATAGACTTTCAATCATGTCATAGTGTAGCCTAGAGGCATGACTGTAGTTAAGATTTTACCTTACCTTTCGACGAATC